TATATATATATATATATATATATATATATATATATATACATATATGTTTTAGATTAAAATATAAAATAATAAAAATATTAATGAATTATATGAAAAATATACTTTTCTCTTATAAATTTTAAATTTCATTTTCTTAATATCAACGAGTATATATAAACAAAACTATTTTATATAATTGAATGAGTACCTGGTCTTCATATTCACTAAGGTAGCCACGTTGATCAACAGAACGTCCAGAGTCTGAAGAAGTATCCCTACTACCCCCTTCCCTACGATTCTCAATCTCATAATCTCTCGCATCTGAATCTTCACCATCCGCGCGGAGAACTTCACCATCCTTACACACACATGCACAAAATTGCTAATACTGCATGCTAATTTCTATTGTTTAGAAGATTTCAAGATTTAGACATTCACATTTTTTTTCTTCTTTTTTTCCTCAATTCATATATATTTTATAACATATTAATAGTTATATATTAAAATATATATCTACAAATAATATATCTATCAAATAACAATATTTAATTATATAATATCTCTATATAATGTATTCATGAATGTTAAACAAAATTATAAATATGTTTTAGTTATAAATTTTTGTTAATTTATAAAAAAAACAGAACAAAAAAAATATGTAGCTAAAATTATTTATACAAGATGAAGATATAAATAAATTCTATCATTTATAAATGATATTATTTAAATGATATAATTATTAACATATTATATCTTATACTATCATATAAATTTTGTATTTTGTGCGTGTGTGTGTATTTTTTTACACACAACTAGTCTACATAAATTTTAAATTTCAGAATAAAGCATGAAACATAATATTTTGTTATAATACAAATACTTGAAGGCAAATTATGCTGACTAGTTAATAACTATGCATTTTATAATATAATTTATAGTAGATTATGCAACTATCAATATTACCTGATTAATTGAACTTCTGAGTCTATTTTCATCATCTGCACTAATATGAAAACGTCGTTGAAATTCAGTTGCTGCTGTATTGAAATTTCGTTCAATTGTCATATTTGCACTAGGTGATGTAGTACTATAAAAAATATTTGCAATATTTCAACTTCATTATTCATAATATAATATCATAATTTTTAAATAAATAATACATAATACATACGATTCTGTTGGACGTTCCCATTGTGTAAATCTTGCTATATGATTAACATAGTATGTTCGCCCATTTGCATCTTGTCTTTCTTCCCATCCTGGTGGTAAAGGCCTAATAAGTATAACCTAAAAAAATATTAACATATTATTTTAAAATAAGTAAATTATTATTAAAATTTCTGTTCTAAAACTGTGCTAAAACTATATAACATTTAGCTCAAAATTATTTATATAATTGTACATACATCTGCAGCTTGTTCCACAGGACTATTATTTACTGGTTGCACCATTTCCCAGCCCCCTGAGTCAGATGTAGTGTCTCCATTGTCATTGTCTGTATTTGATGAGTCAGAAATGTATGCATGATATACTTCCAAGGTACCCTTCACTCTTGAACGCTGACTGGAATGATTACTAGCCATATCCTCGTAAGTTATTCATTTTGCATTTGCAAATGAAAGATACGAAAGAAATATATTAATGAACTAAATATGAAAATTGATGATATGTAGCCAATAAATATAACTAGATGAAAAATTATTTCAAAACAAAGTTATGCATATAAAAATAATAAATTTAAAAATGATATGAATAAATATAAATAAAATAAAAATGATAATTTTTATTTTTATTATGTATATAATTATATTATATATATTACATATACACATATATAATGTGTAATAGTATATATAATTATCACATCATATCTATAATTTAGGACCAAATAATTTTAATGGAAAGCTAAATAGATTAAACTTTTAAAATATACAAAAATACACAGCTTTAAGCATATATAATAAAAATACTTACCTACGTGGACGAAGTACATAACGCCTAACAGGTATTGTACGACCTTCTTGCTCTTTAGGCAAATTAAGTAATGTTAGTTCTACCATACCAAGAAAATCATCCCTTGTTAATCTATTCTCATCAAAAACTTGTAGCACCAATTTATGATCAACAGGTTTAACCTAATAATGAAAAACATATCTATTAAGATATTGGATTTATCTCAATATTTATTTATAATTATATTATTATATTATATTATATTATTACATTATATTAAACTTACTCTAAATATAAACTCTTCTTCCCAGACAGGATTCAATGTCTTTTTTTTAGTTTTTGTAAGTGCAGAATCTATTGTCTGATCACCAGATATAGTATTTAAGTCAACACGTACATAAGGATCGCTTGCACCAAAGATATCTTTCTTTGCTAGTTGGTGCCCAGCGATCACTTTTAATCTCAGCTTTCGAGTAGCTTCATCTCTCTGTAGAAAATTTAAAAAACCAAGCATTTTAATTATAATAAATTTCCAAAATTTTAAAAATTATTATTATATTATATATATTATATAATTATTATTATTATTATTATTATTATTATTATTATTATTATAAAAATGATTATTTAAAGAATTTTTTGCCTATGTTATTTAAAATAAGTTATTTTATAATTAAATTAATCTCTAATCTAAAAAAATAAAATGAATGTTTGAAAAAAATTTAAATCTTGTTATGCAAACTATTTATTAAATATTTAATTTATTTTATCTGCATGTATTAATAATTATTATAAGAAATTTCAATTGAATTTTATATATATAATAAATAATATATATAATAAATAATGATTAATTTATTATTATTAAAACAGATTTTATTTAATATTAAATATAAATACATATAAAATATAGAACACTATAATAAAATATATAAAAATATAAACATAATTTTATAGAACACTATAAAATTATACGTGATATATTAGATGGAAATGATTTTTTTTAATTTTTTTAATTATATATGATGTAATTAAAATAAAATATAAAAATATTATTATTAGTGTTACATTAATTTATATTTCTATAAATAATTTAATGCTTCTCAATAAAAAAAATATAGATATATTTCATATTACAATTATTAATTATACGAAAATTTTATTATTGATGCAATAATATTATTAATCATAAAGTCAATAACTTTTTGCAAGTAACATCCTTTCAAAAGTCTATCAATCAAAAATCCAACCTGTACTTGTCAAACTGTCAAAATAGTTACGTACGGATTCTCCGTCAACTCCAGATGTTGGATTATACCCATAAACATGTTCCTCTGCCATTAACGTTATATGTAATCGATTTGTTTCTAATCGTCGATTGCTACGTTTTACAAATCTTATAATTTATCTAGGTTCACAGTTTCTTATGTGCCATCAAGAAACCTATTTTGTCTTAACCCCTCTTAGTTGCTATTGCATGAACGAAACGGATATGACATATACGCGCTTAAAGATGGCTAACTTCCTTTTAAATATTCAAATGTGATTAAAATTCATGTTTATCATTTAAAAAATATATATCATTATACACAAAAAAAATATTGTATATGTTATAAGATATATTGTTTTATTCTTTATTAATTTATATTAATATTAAAAAAATTAAAATTTCCAGAAACAAATATTTACGAAACAGTTTTTAAATATGTATTGCTAAACGAGTAATTCTAATGCATATGCGAACATTTTTTCCAATTTTTCTAACTAGAGATTTTTTGTCATTAACTTAACAACATAAACGAAATTATAAAAATTTAATTTTTAATCTAAATATAATTATTCTCTAAGATTATCGGTATATTCTAACATCTCATGTAAAAATATTTCAGAAAGAAATCTTTTTTTGATTTCTTGATTAAAGTTTTAAGATTAAAAATATCTTTGTGTTGATAATGATGAGAAATAAAAGAATTAAAATAAAATGTATGATAATAAATTTTTTTCTTTAATTATCTTTCAATTTGATATCATAAGATAATAATAAAGATGAATAATTTCTAAATTATTTTAAAATAATGAATTATATAAATATTGATATACATAAAAATATAATTATTTACATACTGAAGATTCTGTCAGTGAGAAGCGTCCTGGTCTTGTGTTAACTTGCAATACCCGAGATGCAGAACGATGTTGAGTATTCCAAGTATAAGCACGAGTTCTTTGAGGAGGTGATTCAACACCAGTATATATTGGATAGGTTAAAGTACCTGGCATCTTGTATTCTTAATCTTTTAATATTTTACACATTAATGCAAAGATTATTCAATATTATTGTTATATGTATTTTATTTTTTATATATAAATTTATATTAGATAGATAAGATTTAATGATAACTTATTTAAAATAAGTAATTGTTGCAATATTATTTCTAATAATATTTTAAAAAATATAATCAATATAAATATAAATCAATTTTCACTCACAAAATAAAGCATTTCATAAGCATTTCTCTGAAATATTTTAAATTATTCTATTCATACTTTCCAATATTTTTATTATATGTAAATAAACTAAAATTAGTGGTTTTTATTTATTGCTGTATATAATAAATTTATAAATAAATATATAAATAAATAAATACAATATTAACTAATATCAATAATTAATTATAACATAACAGTATTAACTAATATCTAATAATATTTCATTAGTTTGACTTAAGTCAATAAATATATTAAATATTTATAACATATGTGTACAATATTCTTAATATGTAAGATACATAGTAAGTATACAATGATAATTTTATGTAAAAATTATTATAAAAACATAAAAAACAACATAAAAAGTTGTAATAATATATATATATACGTGTATATATAAATAATATATATATATATATATATATATATATATATATA